TTGTTTTTTTGCAACATTGTATTTTAAAAATAGAAGTTAAGTAGAACAGCAATGGTGCACTGAAGCAGTGTGGATCTCATACACTTTAAAAAACAGTTACACAATAGAAACATAGAAACATAAAATGTGACGGCAAATAAGAACCATTCGGCCCATCTACTCTGCCCAGTATTTCAAAATACTTTTAATTAGTCCCTGGCCTTATCGTAAGTCTAGGATAGCCTTATGCCTATCCCACGCATGCTTAAACTCCCTCACTGTGTTATCCTCTACCACTTCAGCTGGAAGGCTATTCCATGCATCCACTACCCTCTCACTAAAGTAATACTTCCTGGAATTACTTTAAACCTTTGCCCCTCTAATTTAAGACTATGTACTTTAACCAGCAGTGTAAAAGCAATAAATGTGACGACAAACACATTTTTATCAAGAAAAGATGAGAGTACTTTTAGGAACTGGTTGCAGCTAGCCTAATCTTTTTATGTAATTTATTTTAGTTAAAGTCTTTGCCTACATACAACAAAATGTATGTAGGCAAAGTGGCTACACAAATGTATTCCATTCTCTTAAACTAGCAAAACAAGTCTTTTGTTATACCCTCTGGTTCTGGTTCTTAATTCTTTCATAGATTGGCGCAATTATGTGTAATTAATCACAATAGTTAACAGGACAGAACCGGACATTCATCATATATACCATGTTTTACTCAAGATCAGTTAAAGATACTCTCCAGATTGGCATCTATCACCATTTTAATTCCACAGATAGCTCCTGGTGCTGCCCTATGATTGCTAACTTTGTTCTTAAATGTATTTATTCAAATGGTGTAATATAAAAGATACATACCAATAATGGAAGTATTAGAGGAATATATTGCCAACTCTAGGTTAAGAAAACATAGTTTTATTCTATACCTTATCCCTGATTATACAAAATCTAGTACTGTATGAGTTTAGGACAAAAAAGGACATGGTCAAGGGTTTGTTTGCTTGTTTTTCTTGTTATACATTATTAATGGTATTTTGTTTATATCTGAAATGCCTCTTTAAAAAAAGATGTGGAGAGAAGCCTAAGTGAAGAGTTCATATGTTAAAGAGTTCATACAGGTTTATATGACACATTGCAACAAGGTTCCTCCCACTTATTCCCTCCTTTTAGCCTGTCAGGCTTCTTTCTACTTATATCCTCCTTTAGCCTACCCAATACATGGTGGCACCCTTGACCCAATTTTAACATCTGGCTGTCAGGCTGCCATTTTCTCCATCATTCACATACCACATACAGACTGTGATGGAGCTCCTGTACTCAGACGAGTACCTCCACCTAGTCTGCTTCCTAGCCACTGGGAGGGAGCCTGGAATGCTTCAGCCCCAGTCGCCAAAGCTTGACTGCGGTCTCCTCGGAACTCTTCCACCCGACAAGACTGCAGCTCTCTTCTTCCAGGCAGGTATTGTCACCTCTGCCTATTCCTCTGAAGCTCTGCTTATAGTGATTGCTCCTGTCTCTCAGGCCTAGCTCTCTTTTCAACTTATCCCCAGGCTAGAAGGATCATGCAGCCTGCCAACAAGTCTGAAAACTCTGTTACTGGGATCCCTAAAAATGTACACAGGACACACAGTTCCAAATGTACACACTTTTAGTCAGTCAGCGGAGGGCGCAGCATAGTTATCGACCTAGCAATGTATAGTTTGTAAATGAAATCCTGCTGCCTCACACCTCTTTCAGGGACTCCAGGTCCATAGTCTGTGAGTAAGAGGCTGGCCTTCAAGCCATTCCAAAAGGCCATGGCATGGGAGCTTCTGTCACACCGACCATTACTTACTATCTCCCATCTTTCTATCCCTTCTGTCTAATCTGCACCTACTCAAGCTGCCCACTTTTCACATACCAAAATCTGTTGTATTGACCCATCAGCACTAGTTTCCATGGTCTTATCGCAATTGCTTCACCTTTCATCATACTCTGCTGTTGTCCAATGCTGCACTGTCATCTCTTATCAATTCACTCTCTTTAACTCTCAGTGTACTTGTAACGGCACCCCCAGGCATAAAAGGGTTAAACTGCCGTTTGGTAGATCTTCCCCTTCCAGAGACACCGGCACAGCTACTGCAGAACACCAAACTCCCGAACTGAATACAAGGGTATGCTCCAAACTCCCGAACTGCATACAAAGTAGCACTCCAAACCAGGGGTCAAGTCCTGGGGAAAAAAGTGTGGGAACTCACCCAAGATTTCCGCCTCTGCCCCTCCCCCTCCCCCCCTTTAAAAAAAACCAAAAAATTACACTCCTATGCATATAGTGCAGTGCAGGGTGTGTATAATGAATGTAGTGTGTTTGTAGTGAATGCAGAGTATGAATAATAAATGTAGTGTGTTTGTAGTGAGTGCAGTGTGAATAATAATTGTAGTGTATTTGTAGTGAGTGCAGAGTGTGTATAATGAATGCAGTGTGTTTTTAGTGAGTGCAGAGTGTGTATAATGAATGCAGTGTGTTTTAGTGAGTGCAGAGTGTGTATAATGAATGTAGTGTATTTGTAGTGAGTGCAGTGTGTATAATAAATGTAGTGTATTTGTAGTGAGTGCAGTGTGTATAATAAATGTAGTGTATTTGTAGTGAGTGCAGTGTGTATAATAAATGTAGTGTGTTTGTAGTGAGTGCAGTGTGTGTATAGTGAATGCAGTGTGTATAGTAAATGCAGAGGGTGTATAGTGAATGTAGTGTGTTTGTAGTGAGTGTATAGTGAATGTAGTGTGTTTGTAGTGAGTGAAGAGTGTGTATAATGAATGCAGTGTGTGCGTGTGCTGGATGACGTGTGTGTGCGCTGGATGACGTGTGTGAGTGCTGGATGACGTGTGTGTGAGTGCTGGATGACGTGTGTGTGTGTGCAGGATGATGTGTGTGTGTGTGCTGGATGATGTGTGTGTGTGTGCTGGATGATGTGTGTGTGAGTGCTGGATGATGTGTGTCTGAGTGCTGGATGATGTGTGTGTGTGAGTGCAGGATGATG